GTAGAGCTTTCAATAATAGTATTGCTTCTCAACAATTAACTGGGGACAACCGATCAGGGTGGCCTGTCTGGTCTCAGAGACTAAATGCACTTCCAAAACACCTGGGCTCTCCAGGCAATCGAAACAAAACCCTGCGGTAAGAAGCCTTTTCAAAGCAGATGCCATGCTCAAGCTTGCACCCTTGGCTTCAGGAGGAAAAACACAGTCGCAGGTTAATCTCCACGAGCAGGGAGTTTGGATACCGTCGTGCCGATAGTGCTCCCCAAGGGCAGGGGCGTCTGCAGAGATCTACCTCCTAGAGAGGAGGCACAGTGCACCCATTGATAGATCTCTGCTGATTTACACAAGGCAAGGATCAGGCCTTGGGATTGGCAAGTGCCTTTTGCCCAATCTGGGCTCCCTTCTACACAGCAGAACTGAAAGAGCATCCAAATGGAGGGATAAGATGCCCTTCCACCATTTCCGACTGAACTCGGGTCATTCCTAGAAGTTGCTGTTTCATAGGGTGATTCCTGCCTCTCCTCTCTCTAGTACTGAATCCAACCTTTCAGGTTGCAAACCAATTGTAGAAAGACGTTGCCCTTTCCTATTGCCATCCGCCTGAGGCTTGCAGAGTAGTTGACGTGCAGTAAGGCGTTCAGGCTTACAACCACCCAGTCGAGTACGTTAGTCGCCTTGCTTTGCAGATCAGCGAGCTGCAATACAGTGACGTTAAGAGACTCATCCCAGGTCGCATGAAAAAGCTGTACAGAGGCCTCAGGAGTCCAACTGCATATCATTGTGCTTGCACCACAAGCTCCCTTAAGAGAGCTGTATTTGGGGTGTGTTTGTATCACGTCTGCTGCAGGTCTGACAAATTCTTCTCTTTTTTTTGTGTCATGTTATATTGCATATACGTTACTGTGTTGTGCTGCACATTGGATCTGGCATGGGCCTGTGCTGGGTAGTTAAAGAGACTGTATTATAAAAAATATATATATATGCTGACACTGTATATTTAGCTGAGCTGTGACACTTCAGTCACAACAGGATTGTGAATTCTTCCTCTTGAATTCACTGTTGAATTCTTCCTCTTTTGGCTCACCTAGGACCCAATCAAACTCCCCTATAGCTCAGCAGAAAACGTTTAGTTGACTCCCACGTGTGTTTGATCAGGCCCTGGCTGAAAGTGGCTCTCCCCTTCCCGTGTCCACTTATTTCACTGTGCACACCAATCCGTTGGACTCACTGTAAGAACGAACTGCGTGAGCAAGTGTTGGGATAAGGTTAACCAATTTCCGACCCAACGCTGGCTCAATGACTGGACATCAGGGATTAGTGCTAAAAGGAAATTATATTTCACCATAAATGAACAAAAGTATTCAGACACAACCGTTACATTCTGCATATGATTTTAGTGGCTGAAGGGACCTTGCCTTATTAAGACTGTCCTTTCCAAACCCTATACCTATCTACTCCTCATTCTGGGTTTCCCCCTTCAGCCTTTCAACGTGCGCAGTCCTTGGCTAGACGGGATCAGTCCTTTCGCGCACAGTAGCTTCCTTAGTGGCCCTTCGGGGAAGGATCAGCTGTCAGGGGAACAAGCTGCTTCGATGGTTCAAAAGCACCAGCCATCCAATGCGGCGAGGAAGGGGAAAGGCGAAGTCTCCATAAAAAGTCTTAGCTACTGCCCCTTTACGGTCATTTTTAAAACTCCCATTCCTGACATCAATCCCCATTCTTCTTCCAGTTTCTGTGAGCAGAGCGGGGGAAGGATGAGGCGAGACATGCTGCGCCCAGGTCGGAGCAGTCTCTGGGTCTTATGGAAACAGCAATTCAATCCTAAACCTAGGAGCAGTTTTAACAATCAGATTCTACAGAATTAGACATTGCATAAACATTTCACGCTTTTTTTTGTTTGTTTCTCCTTCCAGAAGTCCTGTGCAAAGGTCGTGTTACTATGGGTCTGGCCTGCTAGAAATGCATTGCCTCAAAGCAGCACAAGTCACGCGAAGAGGACAGGCTAACAGCCAAGACGGCTGATTCACAATCTTGTCAGGATTTTGCTGCTTGTGTTGGCTTGACTGCAGAACGAGTCCTTGCATCACCAGGTCTATGTTCGCCCTTTGAAAGTGTTCATGCAGGTGTAGCTTCCAGAAAACTTGTGGATTTCTTCAAGTGCCGACTGTGGGAGAATGCTGCAGGGGAAGCAGAAGGAAATATAAGCCGCTATGCAATAGTATTAAAGGACATGTGTCAACACACACACACACACCAGTAGTTGCATTGGCTATTGGGAGCAGGAAGCAGGCATGCATTTCAGTGTCTATCAGGCAGAAGCATCAAGGGCCCTGTCCTGCACGATGCTGCGCCCACAGATCTCAGGAATACGACGTTACTCAGCAGTTGGCATGCCTAAGCCCTAGGGTAAAAAAGTGCTATGCTGTCTCTTTCTGGAAAGAAACAGCTTATTAAAGAGGCCTTGAAAGAAATGTTTCCATTAAGACGTCACCTTTTAAGTCCCCTAAGTCGCAGGCTCCCGTTCGATATATAAAACCTGAGATCTCCTACTGAGAATCAGGCTGGACGTTTCTCTTGATGTCTAGCCCCCGAAACATTTAGCTTTCTCATCATGTCACGCTGGTATTTTCGTCGCTCTTCTTTTGTTGGCTACCGGGTTGCTGAAGAGCTGCTGTACTGTTCTGATGAGAAATGACCTTTTCTTTCCCTCCCCAGCAACCATAAAATTTGCACTTGACTTACAATACAGGGTCAATCTATTACTGGGTCCCCAACACTGCCGATTTTTTGACTTGCAGCAGTTTTGTGCATGCCATAAACAAACCACGTTGGGATTTTTTTTTTTTCCAGCACAGCTCTTATTTTAGTACTTTCGGTGCATTTAAACCATTGTCATGGTTTTTATCTGTAGTTATGAATGTATATTTGGTGAAAAAGCTGTTTTTCCTCATCTTGAGGTTGAAAATATGAGGGAAACCTTGACGCATCGGGTTGACTTCAACTGGGAACAATTTTGTCCCAATTTTGTTAAGGATTATTCCTAATAAAATAGATAGCTGGCAGAGAACTGTGCCTGCTCTGCTTGTAGGGGCTCCACAAAATTATTGAGATTTCCCCCCATAAATGCATTTCTTATGCCAGAAGGCAATCAGGACTCCTAATAGAGATAAGATCTTTTATTAGACCAACATGATTTTTGCAAAAACAATTCTTTGATGGCAAGCTTTCGGGCACGTACACCCTTCATCAGGCATCGGAGAAAAGTTTGTAAAAGTTCTCCTGGGTAGAAATGAAAGTTCACATTTCCCTGGCTTTCACAGAGGAGTCAAGAGATGGAAGAGGCCTCTGGGCAGTCAGTTCATAGCTGGTATGGCATATTTTCTCATGCCAAAATATTTAATGATTTATTTGTGAATTTTGCCTTTCTATCTGAAATGCAGGGTTTCTCACTTGGTTGTGATTGGCTACATGAATCGCAGGACACTGTGTCAGTTCTCTGATTGGACGACCTGCGCTTTCAGAAGGGTTTTGGTATACCTCCACAAAGGAAGCTCACTGGAAACTTGCTCAGTGTGACAGGCTGGGATTCCCTTTCTGGAAGCAATTTGAAATTCACCTAAAAAGGTAATTTCATGAAAAAATAAATCATTACTTTCCTTATGATTTCCTTAATGTTTTTTTATGTTCTCCTGGCTCAATGGAAATGGAGGAGAAAGAGCGGGCTCTACACATAAATGGTGAGACACGTATTTCATGTGTGCTGTTGAATGCCTGCAGTCTGCAGAGAGGCTTGAGCTAGTTAACCATGCCATTTTCTGGAAACGAATGATCAGAGCAGATCTCGGCTCTCTGAGGTTTGGGTGCTGAATCTGCTTCCAGACCGGGGAGATGTACCCTGGGGAGATGTCTCAAGTCAGGAAAACTCTGCAGTCAGCCTCGCCACGTGTCCTCCTTGTCGCTGATGCCCGCTGTTTCCCGTGGGACTGAACAACCTGACATTATCATGCGACTGCCCGGGTGAGGTTTGGCTTAGCGGACAGAAAAAAGGACCGACTGCCTAAAAGGCAAAATGAGGAGGCCAGGCAGGTGCGAACAGCAAAGGAAATGACTGACCTTTTCAAGATGACAAGGATGTTCATTGTCCAGGGCAGGAGAAGCAGGGCTTGGTTCATCTGAACGGCTTCCACTGTCCTCCTGGCCACTGTCTCTGGCTTTAGAGGAGGGAATAATTTGGGAAACCTGAATGAAAAAAAGAAAGAAAGAAACTCCTTACCGGGTTTTGGGTACTACAAACCAAGGCCCTTTTGCTTCCTGAGCTATTGGTGGCCACTGGCACATGAATACCTGCCCCCCTGTGTTGGCAGGGAGGGTAAGCCTCCGACACTGCCACCCTCACGCCTGTCAGCAGAGCTGGGCTGGCAGCGGGGCCGAGGGGAGAACATGGTTCATCCTCTAGGGACAGGCAGGAGAGGCCACAAAGACCCCCGCCCGGTGCAGGGACCTGCTCAAGCAATATTCTGCATAATACTGCCGGAAACTTAAAGCCACGATCCTGCCATTGCATCTTCGACCTTCTGCTTGGTTTATTGGCAGGTGAAGGATGAAAACAGCTGCTCCCTGTTCCCTTTGGTACCTGTGCATGCCTTCCTAATACTAATGATGATATTCATAAATGCCACGGGTGCACAAACTGCACAAATGGTTCACACCGGGAGCTTTTGATCCAACCCAGGTAAAAGGAGATTTGGTTAGTTGTCAGCCCCTGAATCGGGTTTGCTTTCACAGGAGCTTGCAACAAGGCGCCCGAGAAGTTCTCGCTGTAGTCAATGGGGCTGCCGCCATCGCTTCGGCAAGGAAGGGCTGATCCCTTCCACGGCAATGAGGAAGGGACTGGATTTGGGCTGCAGATCCCCAAGGACTGTGCAGATTTTTCTCCTCTCTGAAGCGCCTGAACGGTCAGCGTGTTTTCTCTGCGCTGCTCTCCGCAGCTGGCTCACCCCCCAACCCATGCAACTTTGCTTCCAGTTTTCTCTGCAGAAGCGACTACTTGGAGGACGCCCTTTCCTAGTGAAGGCAGGCCGAGCAGTACATGTCGGGGAGCACGAACGTGCCAGCAAAGCGCAAGAACTGGTCTGATGAGTTCCAGGTGGCCGAGAGCGACCCTGTGCTCCCTGGCAGCCGGACGGGACATCAGATGCTCTTAACTAAACGAGGCATTAATTAGGAGTGTGTTCTGGCGATTCATTTAAAATGAGATGCTTTGCCCCAGCTCCTGTGGACTGACCTGATTCTCATGCCTTGAAACATCTCTGTGCTGGTGTGGAAAGGCAGCACCGTGGTAGCGTTCACTCCGGGGCAGTCAAGCAGCCCCAAGGTCAAGCTCTCCATGAAGGCAAAGGAAGACGCTTTGGAGGTGCAGTAGTCGATGGCCCCCGGGATGGCCGACAAGGCCAAGACAGAATTCAAGCAAACGATGTGTCCGTTCTGCAGTTCCAGCATCCGGGGCAGGAAAGCCTTGGTGGTCTGGAGAAGAGTGAAGAGAAAACCTTTGTTAAGCAGAGATGCAGCCCGAATCCCAGCCCCTGGAAAAACAAGCGTGGTCCCGTTGCGACCAACTGGGGGTCTTGTTGCTCCTGCAAATGTTTGCAAAAGAGGTGAATTTAAGCAGACGGCCCGAGAAATGCATCAAATCCCCAAGCCAAACGGCATCCAGAGGCCGCAGAGAGCGCACACTGTACATTTAGGAGTGACAAAAGCTTGGGTGACACTAGGAATGACAAATAACTGCTTTTGTGTTCGTCTAATTAAAAACCGAGTAAGCATGCTGCAGGCTCCAGAGCTGTGCATCTGGTCATGCTTCTCGCATGTTCCAGATGTGAGCTGAGCAGCGAGAGTCTCCTCCGTGGGCTTTAGTTTTCTCCAAGGGAACCGGGTTTGTTCCTGTAACGCTCGGAGTGGGTGTGAAAGAGCGTCAAATGCTGTATAATTACTGGAAGCCTTTAATACGCTATTTTTGAAGAAGTCAATTTGAAGGAATCTGTCAAATTCAATTTTTTTCTCAGACCCCTCTCCTCTGGCCTCTGCCCTTCACGTTGTTTTTTCTGGCTTGTTTTCATGTCGGGCTGATCTTCCCGAGACCCGTTTAGAAAGGTCTAGCAGGGGAGCTGTGTTTACTGGCTGCAATCTGTCACTCTCGTTTCCAAGTCTGACTACGCTGGATACGGGAGCTTATCTTACCCAGAACTGTCCCAGGGTGTTTATGTGCTGTGATTTGAGCAGCGCATCATCGTCGCTGTCCATCAGGCTCTTTCCGTGAACCACGGCAGCATTGTTCACGAGGATGGTGATATCACCCACCTGGAAAAAACAGAAAAGGCAAAAGGATTAGGGAGACAATGGGTTACAGCAAACACTCCCTCTCACAACTGCTACGCTCACTGTTGGCCTGTCGACGAAAGGCTGCATCCATGTCCTCTGGCAGGCTAACATAAGGGGCCTTGTGATCCTTCTGGCGACTGCAGCGTGCCCGTGGACAAATGAAACTAGCTGAGGCACAGACACCGACTTCTGCGCAGGCGCGTGCTCCCTTTCCTCCGAGGCAGGTTCACAACATGTTATTTGGGGGGCAACCAATGTTTTTAGAAACAAAGACAAAGCAGAGTGAAAAACGTGTCCCTTACCAAGAGAGAGTAAAGGGGGGGGGAGGCAGCTGGAACAAAAGGGACCAGGTTTTGATAAGGATAACAAATGTAAAAGCAGTGTCCTCAAAATGAACAACTAACTGCCTTTTTTGGGTGGATTCTGTGTTCGTCCCTTTGTAATTCTATAGTTTGCAAATTGTAGTTCAGTCTTAGTGCTATAATGTCATCTGGGTACTTTCAGACAGGTGAAAAGCTGGATTCGGACGGGACACTGATTTTTTTTCACCCATGAGTTGTCCGTCTCAGCTCTTTCCCCACTGAACTTTTTTTGCTACAGCCTCAAAATCCAAAGTTCACGTAACTCGGGCTCTGCCAGGCTTGCGTTTTGCATCGGTGTCATACCTGTACAAAATTAGCGTGGAAGGTTACCACTGGAAACGAAGTCAGATTTGGTAGCAGCGTTGTGTCAGCTTTGCACAGGGGTCACTGCCTGCCCAAAGCGAGAATCGGGCTCTGTCTTCGCTGCCACAGGATCTAGGAGTTTAAAGGCCAGACTGCTAAGTCCAAGCCGTTCTTCTTCCCGGTTTCTTGGAGGACACTTCCCACTTGCTAAAGACAGATGGGTTTTCCCTGCTCTGCCCGACAGCAGATCGACCCTAAAGACCAACCTTTTCTCGGACAGCTTTGGCTTGCTGATAGACCTCCTCTCTGTTTCCCACATCGCAAATGAAGTAATGACACTCTGTTCCCATTGTCCTGATCTCCTCTGTGGTTTCCTTCAGGCACTTCTCCGTTCGACCCCACAGGATGATCTGCAGCAAAGGACATTTGTAAGAATCTGGACGGTTCCTGTTTTGAATCTAAAACAATTAAAATCTGTTTCTAATTCCAACAATTGGACACGGACCTTGAGTCGTGTTTGCATGGCCTGTTCCACCACATTGTTTGCTTTAGGGCAAGCACTAAATGATTTTTAAACAACGACGCTTATATGCAACGTGGGGGTAGGGCCATGCGGCAGCGGAGGGTGCTTAGTGTTCCTCTGTGCTAGTGGTCCGTGCTCCATACCCGGCGAACGTCCCTGATTTGCAAGCAGCGCTGAAAATGGGCTCTCTGAACTGGCAGCCTGCTGGTGGCATCATGCAATAAATAAACGAACCAGTCCCAGGAGCAATTATTTTTTGACCAATAATTTTTCACATGCACGACTATGGGGGGGTGAACTTGGGGAGGAAGGTCATTTTTAACCCTGAATATGCTGTGGATATGTCAGAGCAGTGATCCAGCTTTCTTCTGTTGTCCTACGTTGACTGCTAGGCTTTGTCACTGGTCCATAGCAAGGTAAAATAGTTTAGTCGGCATGCCAAAAGTAACAGTTTGGAGCACTGATAACTTGCAGACTGTTATTCTAGGTGCATGCAAACTGCAGGCTCACTCTAAAATAATGTTGTGGTTTTACACTAAACCCACAGGAGCAAGGATATTTGCCAACTAGGGAATTCAGGCTAAGATCACTCCATCAGCTTTGTCCCAAACTAGCCTTGAGAGCCTCATAGCGCCTCCCAAAACATGCCCAGAATAATCCTGTAACACAGGGGGCTGTAATGGGGCAGCGTTAAAATGCAGCAAGAAAGAGGTAGTTTTCAACTAGTGGCTTCAAAAGTGTGTTTTACATCCTTTGGCTATTACTACAGGCTAGATCTCTTCTACGGTATTTGTTTAGCAAGCTGAGTCAAACATTAAGGATGGAAAATTTCCAGTGAGAAGACTTCTAACAAGTCTGAAAGGCCATGTGAATAAAAAAAGACACAGGTTTGATCTCTAATGAAGACACAAGAGGGATAACCCTGCTCTGCAGCTCTGTAAGATCAGAGACATTTCGATGTGGAAAGGACCAAACTAGTCATCGAGTTCAGCTCGCAGTGCAGGACTGTACCCAGCAGTACATTTCCTAGTGACTCACACAGTCTCGTTTTAAATGTCTCAAGTGAGTGATGGGGCTTTCACCACTTCCTTTGGAGGTTTAATCCATAGCTTAACAGATCTCACTGACAGGCAGACTTTTTCTCTCTCTCTCTTGCTACATAGCTTAAATTTCCCCTTTCTTTCAAAGCACTGGTGGTGGGTGGGTTTCCACCTTCCCAGATTCTCCCCTGTTCTACCGGGGACAAGCAACCATTGCATCCTCCACGACATTGCAAGTCGATATTCACTCCTTGTTTTGGAAATAGCAGAACGGCCAAATGGGGTGTGCCCATACCCGCATTAAAAGCACTGACGTTTTCAAGAGCCAACAGGCAAAGTAATCAAGAGAAAAAAAGCAAAAAACCCCCAAAAGACCCTCCCAGTGCTTACAAGTGAAAGTGTGACCACAGAAACTCTTCCACAGCAGATAATATTTTCAATGCAAAATTATTGTTTAGGATAAAAATACGAGACAGGAAATCGTCGGGGCCAAATGCTTCCCTCGAGAGGAGTCTTCTATATGGAGAACTGGAAAATTGGGCTTCGGACGGAAAGGACTTTGTAATCTTAGTGATCGCGTTGCTTATGAGCAGCGACCTGATCTTCTGGAGCACAGCGTCGCCTGCTACTTGGGGTGAATCTGACTGGTGTGTGGTTTTTTTGTTTTTTTTTTTAAAAAAAAGGACACTATACCTTTAAAATGTTAGCAGTCTTTTGCCTTTTAGGTATCTAAGTGTTGAAAAGAGCAAGACAAAAGGTACAGGGGCTGAATTACATAACTGCCTGTAACTCAATCCCCGGAGTCAACGGGATGACTCTCATGACAGCACGAGGAGCCAGAACATACAGCATTTCCTCCCCACAATCAATCTCGGGAGGAAAGTTTTCTCTAAAGCAACAAGCAATCTTTAGGAACTGTGCTTGAGCCTCCCTCATTGTAAGTACAAGGCCTGATTTTCTTTTACAGCCAGTGCCCTTCAAATGCAGCCAAAAAAAGAGATAAAAGAGCACCCAGGTCTGATTCAGCTCCTTAATTAGTTAAATTGGAAAACTAAGCCTGTTCTTTAAACCATGGGGAGGGGGCGGCTTTTATATGTGTCTATATAAACGCATGCACCTGCAGACCTAGAAATAAATACAGAGATGCCAAGGGGCTTCTGAAGGGACCATTGTTTCTTTGGAGGGGTGTTGAATATGCTCAGCTTGGCTTCACAGTCAGACAAGGTGCTGAATTGCCTTCAGACCTGCTCAGAGTTGCACTTTCATGCCCCGTGTTCTCCAAAGGAATAACCAGAAGATACAACAGTTCAAATGCTGTTCAGTGATTCCCATATCAATGCTGATTCAGAGAAGAAATTGAGCCCATGTTCGGTTTTGCGGTAGTATGTAATGGCAAAGCATAAACCCATGTTTCCCTGGGTTTGCACAGGGGTGGCTCTTGGAAAAAAAGAAATACAGGAGGTAGCTTCAGTACTAGGAAAGTGGGTGGTTAGGAAGAGATTTCAGAGCAGCCAACGCTGGGCCTGAGCCCTATTGTTGGAAACCTTGGCTCAGGCAGGAGGTGGTATGCAAAGAGAAATAGGTCTCTAGCTTTAATGAGCTTTAAGTAAATAGCCGGTCCTACTAAAACCTTGGATCAATACAATATGTGTTCGCACTTTTAGAGCGTTCTCCTAGTCAGCCCCACAAGACTACCTTGTATCCTGTTGCCACGACCCAGGGAGCTTTAAAGAGGATTGCCCCACTCCTAAGAGGACTTTGCTGGGTTCTTGCCATGGACTCGTGTTGCCCCTTTCCCATGTTTTGCAGATGTCCTGTTCACTCCTGGTCTCTGCCCTACTCCAGCTCCCCAGCGCTGGGTGCCCCACGCAACCCTCACGGCACCTCCCCTCGCTGGACGTCAGCCTGAAAAGCGTGCGTTGCTCTATGCCGAGGAGCACCTCCAAACGGGTGAGGTGTCAGCATCCGAAGTTCAGGGGACGACCGGTTTTAAAAATCAGTTTCCGAAATTGGTGGAGGGCTTCGGGACTCTGGATGCCCCAGTGTTTCGGGGTTGGGGCATCTGGGATGCTGCTGTGGCCTCACTTTCTTCCAATGAGTAAGAGCCATCTTCCAACCCGCTAGCTAGACGAGCCAACAGGTAGCGAATTTCTCGATGGCGGGATAAATGCCTGCCTGCCCGAGGGATGCGATGGAGGGAAGGGGGCAGAGAGATCCCGTTCCTTATTCCACGGCATGTCCGGCGGCTGCACAGTTATTCGGAGGGTAGAGGGGGAGGAAATTTTAATCCCTGCCACGAAGATCGTCTTGGAGAGCTGGTTTCCCAGCCTGGAAAGCATCCAGCCACCGTGTCTTCTCCCTTCAGCTCCCTCCTGCCTGCCCCCTCCCTACCACGCTAGACACGCTCTCCTTTCAAAAAGTTACTGACCAGAAAATTGTCGAGGGCAGCAGCCCAGCGAGGCGGTTAATCCCCGCTGGGGCAGAGCTGCTCACGGAGGCTTCCTGCCCTGCCGTTACCTCTGGGTGACCCCAATGGTGGGCAGTCAGGGGGGCAGGTGGGACGTCAAAGCAATCCCGTGGGCTGCAGGCTGCTTGTGTCAAGCCGGGAGGGTGCGGGCAGCGGCGGAGCGTTTCCTCCTACTAGCGGACATCTGAAATATCGGGAGATTTACGACAGCAGAGGCTTCCCTTTAATTGCCCCTGAAGAAGCTAATGGCAGTGACATCGCAGATTGCTGCTGATTTTCTCAGGATTTATTCTCCGGTTTGGTTTGCACAACAAAGCTGATTGTTTTATCTCTCCCCCCCACCCCATCTTCCCAGGCAAATCACAAAACTCCTTATCTAGCCATAGGAAAATCATTTCAGGCCCCCCTCCACTCCCCACAGACTCTTAGGCAGCCTTAAGTCTGAATTTTAATGTGCTAACGAGACCGGCTCCTGGGCGGGAGGGGAGTGAAAGAGGCTTGTCTGAAGGAGCGAGCGCTTCACCGAAGGCTGCAGCATCGACCGCTTGCTGGAAGCCTGAAGGGAGCCGGTGGGAATTAGGCTTTCAGTTTCCACAGAAATATTGGGGGCCTGATTTGTATAAACTGGTTCAGATGTCAGACCCTGAACACAGGTAGGTGACCAGCCCCAAAGGACTTGTCTATCCCACGGCAAGAGCGGGTGCCAAGAAGAGCGCGTCCTACCTGCCTGAGTCTGCAGGCATGCTCCGGGCAAGGCTGCGCCAGGCACTTTGGACCAAGAAGCTGGCGAGATGATCTACAGTTTATTCCCAGCTTGTGGACGCCCGCTATGAGTTTTCATACAGTGGAAAGCAGAATAGGAACAGGACAAGGCTTCTATCAGAACGAATAAAAGAGCTTGCAAAAAAAAGGAATATTTTAGAGCGAAACATAGATCTGCCCTGCAGCAGTGTGTCTAGCTGCAGCCTTCAGACAGAGACTACAGGGGTTTGCAGTCACTTCTACGTGATTTGCAAAGCTATTGTTCAGCCAGGTTTTTTTTTGCTAGCATAAGCAAGAGCAACACCAGAGAAGTATCAGGAATGAAAATGTCCCTCTATTTTCAGTAAATTCAACATGTTGTATCTGTCCTTTGTCTCTCAAGCAACCTCTTCATTAGGCTATGGCTACATATGAGGCCGCAGCCAGAACATTTCTGAGGGAAAATATATGCTATTTAATGCCTCTCATTGTGTGATACACCGGGTGTTTTAAAAGAACACTGCTCATTTCCTGATCTTAAACATCAGAGCAATGCAGCACAACAATGAACACAGGCATAGCTGGACCTACACGTGTATCCCATTCCCAAAGTGGCTGCACTTCATCGTGGGCGTAGCGGTTTTGTTTGCCCGTTAGTTTGAAGACACCAGGGAGGAAGGCATTACTTAAAAATATCAAAGTGCCCTTCCTGCCCGATCTCATTACTGCTGTATTCACAAATTGCAACAACTCTTAGCCACAGATTATGAGAGATATTCCGTGTTGGTAGGACAACACATTTCAGCCCCTTTCAACCTCTTTCCTCTGCCCGAGAAACAAAAGTCGCTCTGTTTGAGCTGGTGTTTGCAATTGCCCGGGCTGCTAACCTTGTTGGAACAGAGAGCCTTTGTGTGCCCAATACTGAAAGATCCTGCGAGGTCTTAGGAAATACAAAGTGTAGATAATCCATTGAACTATTTCAACCTTTTCCCAATATATCTGCAGAGCCCTGGCACTTGCTTCTCACAATTGGCCTCCCAAAGACATTCATTCTGGTATATACTGTGACCCTGGGACAGTTTTCTATATCCGGGAACGAACATGCCTAAACTTTACAGCATGAAAAATGTTAATGTATTTAGTTTTAAATGGCACAGGCATTTTCTCCCCCACCCCTTCCACTCCCTTGCCCCCTGGGTAAAAACCAGACAAGTTGTTTCAGGAGTATTTCAAGGGAGAGGCATGCTAGAGATGTGATTACAGGCAGAGTGAGAGGTGTGGCTCTTCAAAGTGAAAAGCCAACTTTTGCTTTAGAAAGAAAAAAAAGAACCTTTTGATGCCTGGAGTAGACTGAAATACTTAACCAAGCGCCTCGGTGACACTTGTATGAAATACAAGCAAACACTCTGCCATTGCCTACACTGGAGAGCAAACATCGCAGGTACACAGAGGGTGTGGAAAGGTTACAGGTGACTGTAGGGAAACCAAAAATGCAACTTCAGAGATATACATTTTATACATCAGCTTTTCTAGCCGAGGAATAGTGACATTGGGTTATGTTAGCAAGTCTGAGCTCGCACAAGCGCACTTTAGGGAAGAAAAGGCTAGCTGGATTAGGGCATGAGCTACACTGGGGGAGCATTCAGAAACCAGTTCAAAGTCTGAGTTGAAGGCTAAATAGAGAAAAAAAACCCAAATATTACAGATAGGACTAAGGTTGAGAATGGAAGAAAAGAGATTGGTTGAAGTAACATGATCTAGTCGGTCCCTTCCGACCCTAACATCTATGAAACGATGAATCATGGGGGTTAAATGCTTAAAGCCTGGGACTTTTAAAGGCGACTTATGGAAGTTTGAGGCCAAGCGCCAAAAAAGATGCCTAAACCCCTATTGATTTCAGCAGGAATTTAAGTACTTAAATACCTTTTTGGAACTGCCCTTAGTGCCCACCTCGTATTGCATTTCCATGGACCGTAGGCGCTCCACCTTTAGAAGTCTCTGCTCTTCTGAACCTTGGTTCTTTGTTAAATACCATGGATAAATGAAGTTGTACCTGCAATGTCTAAATCACTGCTGACTTAGTTGTTGGGATGTGTAAAAGAGATGAAATTACTGCAAAGGCTTTACACAGAACCATGAATCGTAGAAATGAAGGGCTGGAAGGAACCTCGACAGATCACCGAGTTCACCCCAGCCCCCCGCTCTGGGCAGGAAATGATCAAATGATCCCAGCAAGGTGGATTCCTTGAGGCTGTACAATCTCCTTCTGTGGGTGACAGAGAGCGTCTTTCTTTGCACACTAGTCCATTTACACTAAGAGCTAGTATCTGATGCCTGGTCAGTAGATTTGCTTCCTGGTTTATCTCATCCCAGAATCAAAGCACATGTCTGTCTCATGATGGCAGGCCCTAATGATGCTGGGATAGTTGCTCACTCCCCTTAAGTACAATCCTATCTTGGGCACACAGCTCATCCTGTCCACCAGTGGCCCTGTAACCCAGAGGCAGTGTGCTGCATCTGATTGTTACAGAGAAAATAACAGTGCCATGTGAGATGGGAGCAATGAAGAGAGGTCAAGAAAAATGACTGCAACCCTCTAACTGCAGTGAAAGAGGTTTCTAGGAGGTGCCTTTAGTTACACTGGTGCAAATGCAGTCACTGCAGTGATGTTAAGAGATGGTCAGGATTTACACAGGATTGGAGAGCCCATTTGATTTGTTATGAGGTGAACAGTAGTTTTGCCAACAAGCTTCAATAGCAGCACAACTGGCCCCACGCTGAGATCAGATCCCTCCGATCAGACGTCACCAATGAACAGTCTGGTCCTGTACTCCATGGGTGCATCTACACGTGCAATTCATGCTATTTGGCTTGACTGCATGGTTAATTTACTACCTGCATACCCAGCTAGTAAATTTACTGCATAGTAGTAGACTAATTTACTGTGCAGTAAGCGCCTGCACATGTAGATGGTGACGCTTTACTGTGCAGTAGATTAGTCTACTGTGCAGTAAAGTTTCTCATGTAGACATAGCCCATGTGCAGCTGCTGGATGCCTAAGGCATTTGGCAAACCTTTACAAGGCAGCTTGCATAATGACCATCCTGTAAGAGACCACAGGCCTGGCTTTTATAATGAATATTCATGAATAGCATTTAAAGGATAAAGCTCACTTTTTTTAAAGCTTGGAATCAGAGTTCCGTGTTTATTCTTTTAAATGTTGTCTTACCAAAACCCAATGGGTTGTGTTAGAAATCACTATGAGGTTTGCTATCCTATTCATCTAAACCCAGGTCAGATGACAAATGTACTCTTTTTTTTCCCCCGACAGAGATGAAAAAGGGGGTTAGGAGAAGTAGCTGAAAACCATGACAAGAAGCATGCAGTCACCTGCTCCCAGAAAATCACCTGTTCAATGGAGACCCTCCTTCCCATATTGAAAAGGGCCCATATGATTTTCTGCTTGCATACAGGAATGTCTGACCATTTCCCTCCAAGGAGGTGAACAAATGCCTACTGTTCTCAGCATCAAGAGTACTTAAGGGCAGGTGGCCTCCTGCTGATTTCTCTCCAGTGGGTTTCCAGTCACTTTTGTCTACAAGAGGAACTGCAGCTCCAGACTGCCTAGGGAGCAGCACTTCTCAGCTCTGTTGTAGAGAATGGTAGGGGAAGGGGAAGGGTTAGGGTTGTTTGCAAGAAGAGGTCATGCAGGAGTCAGCCTTTACAATCCTATTAACGCCGGGACAGGGTCAAATGGAGTGCACGTTCCAACAAAAGCACCAAGTGGCCACAAGCTGTCACCCTGCGAAGGTTCAGGGAGGCATTTGTGGAGGAAAAGAAATGACAGCTTTTTAACAGTGAATTTCTGCCACACAATGTGTAAGAGCTCGCCTCTGACCACAGAAACAAAGCACACAAAGAAACAGCCAGTAATAAAATTCCCTGGCCCCAACTAGTCAAAGCAAAAAGGGAGTGGCATATTTGAAGGGATTAATTTTTAAAATGTATTTATTTTAAGTAGGGCTCTGCAGAAATATACTGGCAGAAATACAATGAACTGGCTTGTAAAAATAACCACTGTGCTGCTGCCCTTTCCACTCACTTCGCATGCCAATACCATTAGCCAGATTCATATAAAAATGTCCATAGACGTTTCAGGAAATTGTGAGGGGTTAAACAGACAGGTGCAGGAAGACAGCTGACGAGGCCAAGGGGATGGAAAGTCATTAAACACAATTTTAAAAGAAAAGAACAAAATTATTGGTGTTGCTTTGGGGATATGATACAGCCAACATGTAAAACTTCAAATATGCTAAACTGTGGTCACCTGTATGCTATCCCCCCCCCAATGTAGCATCATTATTAATACTTTCCAAGGTAATGGGCTCCCATGGACCATGACATATGGCAGATTTTAATATGACTGTAACAGGATTACGTATTAAGTACAATAAAAAAAGTTACACTGATGTTGAGAGTTGTAAAGTAAGAGGAGATGGTCAGGTTGCCCATTCATATTAGGATTAGGTCAAAATTTGGGGCAAAAGGAAATCTGAAATTTGAAGATAAGTCATGTTTGGTCACTTAAGTCACGTGGCATTACGTCTGTCACCTGACTAGGGCTAAGTACAGACATTTAAAAAGCCAGAGCCTGAATCGATTCAATCTTTGCAGGCTAGTCTAACCTGTGTAGATTGAACCGATTTTGCAAGTGAACCGACATTCAGTTTTGATTCTGGAAATACAGCCACATGCCTGCAGTGGCTCAAGCTAGAAGCTGGGGAACGCTAGAGCAAGCCCTCCCTTCCCTTCCACTGCAGCCATAGGGCTGGAGGGAAGCTGACCTGGAGGGGAAGGCGTGGCCAGGCCCTGGCAGGCTGCTGAGTATGATTAGGGAGACTTGGGGAGGGTAGGGGCTGCAAAGCATCCTGGGATGCTGGGGGACTCTGATTTAACTTGAACCAGGTGGGGATCTGGGACAGAAGTTCCATAAACCGGTTTGACCTAAATCAGTTAGGTCTGTACTACATTCAACCAGGTTTATCTTAAACCAGTTTGGGCCATTTAAAAACCATTTTATGTGCACTGAACTTCTGTTGTGTTTAAGCCAGCTTCTGATTACTTAAACCGGTTTATGTGTAACTTCTGTCCCTAACCTAGATGAACGTA